TTTCCCAAAAGCCCAAATATGTCCTTGACCCAAAACTAACTCCTTATGGCCCATTAAGGCCCACTAGCTGATAAATCTAAAGAATTGGCCCAATCTGAGGCCGGAAGACGTGAAACCCAAATCTTGAGAGTATGTTAAGTGCACTCCTCTATACGCTATGCATATAACTTGCATGGCTTGTACATCGCGCGTACTGGCATGTACGCCCAACGTACTACCCTGTTAACATGTTTTGGTCATTTCCATGGAAGTTAGATGTTATAATCCAAGTTTGGGTACATTTCGTGGGTTGGAAGCCACCAAGTAAGCAAATTTATGAGCTAAACCCTAAAAAATAGGGTTTGGAGTCTGCTTGTGTGCGTTGCGTGTACACCTTGCAATAATCTAAACCCTAAAAACGTATAGCAAATTCCATTTTCACCAAGTAAGCAAATTTATGAGCTAAGCCCATGCAATAATCTTTAATCATTCCTTATTCCAGAAAAATACATTACAAATATTTTAAAATAAATATTACCTCAAATGATGGGCGTTTCAAATCTCCCCCACTTATTTTAGACTTTATCCTAGAAGTCTGCTGCACCTGGAAATAGCTCGGGGTAGTGCTCCCTAATATCATCCTCCGGCTCCCATGTCCACTCCAAGCCCAAGAGATGCTTCCACTGTACCTTCACCCACTCTACCCTCTTGTTCCTTAGATCCTTTGTCTTCCGAATGAGGATATCTACCGGTCACTCGATGTAGTTTAGGATGTCATCCACCTGAATATCCTCTATAGCCACCAATACAGAGTCATCTACCAAGCACTTCCTCAGCTGGGAGACATGAAAGGTGTTGTGGATCTGCCTAAGCTCGACTGGTAGATACAGTTGATACATAACCCGGCCCACCAGGGCCAATACCCTGAACATACGAATGTATCTGGGGCCCATTTTTCCCCTCTTACTGAATCGGATGAAACCTTTCCAAGGTGACCTTCAGGAGGACTATATCTCCTACCTGAAACTCCATGTCTAATCGACGTCTATCGGTATAGCTCTTCCACCGACTTTGGGCCGTCTAGAGTAGACTCTAGACCTGGTGGATCTTCTCTATCGTCTTGAGTACCAATTTGGTATTTCCTATGACCCTCTATCCAACCTCGCCCCAACATATCGGGGTTCTTCACTTCCACCCATATAGCATCTCAAAGGCAGGACGGTCGATGTTGGCGTGGTAGCTATTATTATAGGAAAACTCTGCCAAAGGAAGGTAGGTATCCCAACTACCACAAAAGTATAAAACGCATTGCCACAGGCATATCCTCCAATGTCTGGATGGTCCGTTCACTTTGACCATCCATTTGTGGGTGAAAAGACGTGCTAAAGTGCAGATGAGATACTACCTCTCTGATATAGATGTCGGCCAGCTTCTCAGTCGAGATGCTCTTCTGACTCGGTATGAAACGGGCACTCTTAGTCAACTGATCCTTGAAGACCCAAATTGAATCCACTCCCCGTGCAATCCTGAGAAGCTTTGTGATGAAATCCATAGTAATATCCTCTGATTTCCAAACGGGGATATCCAACGACTGCATCTTGCCATGACGCCTTTGGTGCTTGGCCTTGACCTTCCTGCAGGTCAGGCACCTCTCAAAGTACCATGCTACATCCCGCTTCATGAAGGGCCACCAGTAATCAGGACAGAGATCTCTATACATCTTCATGGCCTAGGGATGGATGGAAAATCTGGACTTGTGTGCCTCCTCCATCAGGATCTAGTGCACACCGCATGCGTACATGACCCACACTCTGCGATGAAGTGTCAACAGCCTGAGGCTATCATAGTCGAAGGAGGAAATCTGGCCTACGATACGATCACTCTTGCAGTGTTCCTCCTTCATAGCCTCATGCTGGGTCTCCCGGATCTTCTCCAAAAGTGGAGTCACTACTATTATTCGCATACAGATGTCTCTGATTGGGGCTGCGAATGTCTTGTGGCTAAGTGCATCAGCCACAACATTAGCCTTTCTCGAGTGGTAGAGGATCTCACATTCGTAATCCTTCACCACATCTAACCACCAACGCTGCCTCATGTTCAGATTCGGCTGATCCATGAGGTATCTCAAGCTCTTATAGTTGGTGTAAATGGTACAACGGATCCCATAAAGATAGTGTCACCAAATCTTAAGAGCGAAAACAACCGTCCCAACTCCAAGTTGTGCATCGGGTAATTTGTCTCGTGAGGCTTCAGCTGCCTTGAGGCGTAGTTGATGATGTGTCGCCTCTACATCAATATTGCACCCAAACCCGAGATGGACACATCACCGTACACTAAAAAAAATCCTCCACACCCTCTGGCAGGGCTAAGACCGGTGCCTCGCACAACCTCTGCCTCAACGTCTCAAACGCTACCTGTTGCTTGGGCCCCCATCGAAATACAATGACCTTATTCATCATTTGGGTCAGGGGTACTGCTATCTTGGAAAAATCATGATTGAATCTCTGATAATAGTCTGCTAAACTAAGGAAACTATGAATCTTAGATGGAGACTTCAGAACCTCCCATCTCATCACAACCTTGGCCGGGTCGACCAAAATACCTATTTGGTTGACAAGGTGCCCTAGAAACTGCACCTCGCACAACCAAAACTCACACTTGGAGAACATGGCATACAAGCTCTCCCTCCTTAGGGTACCCAACATCTCTTGCAAGTGCTCCTTATGCTGCTCCTGTATCATGGAGTAAACTAAGATGTCATCAATAAAGATGATCACATACCAATCCAGCATCAGTTTGCATATGTAGTTCATGAGGTCCGTGAACGTGGCAAGGGCATTGGTGATCCCAAAGGGCATTACCACGAACTTATAGTGGCCATAGCGAGTCCGAAAAGCAGTCTTCTATACATCCTCATCTCTGACTTGCATCTAGTGGTAGCCTAAACGCAAGTCCATCTTGGAAAACCAAGATGTCCACTATAGCTGGTCAAATAGATCACTAATCATCTGGGGTGGGTAACGGTTCTTCACCATTACCTTGTTCAACTCCTGGTAATCTATGCACATCAGATGCGACCCGTCTTTCTTCTTCACAAATAGGACTGGGACTCCCCAAGGCGAACTACTTGGCCTAATGAATCCCTTGTCTAACAGCTCTTGTAGTTGTGTAGACAACTCCTGCTTCTCAGAATGATCCAACTGATATGGTTCCTTGGCTATCAGAGCCGCAATCGGGACTAGGTCGATCCTTAACTTCACCTGTCTCTCTAGAAGTATCCCATGCAACTCATCTGGAAATATGACCGGGTACTCTCGCACAACTGGTACATCACTCACGGTTGCCTTACCCGCCTCCTGGGTATACATAACTTAGGTGACATACCCTGCCGAAGGTAGTGCCTAGCCCTCATTGCTAAGCACAAAGCTGGTCCATGCTGCGCCCCCTCGCCCTAAATCACCAACTCTCCCCCACTTTGGGTCCTGACATGTACCAACTGCTGCGCATAGTCAATCACCACCCGATTAGGGCTCAACCAATAATTTCTTATGATGACCTTATTCCTACGCAAAGGAATGGGAACCAAATCCACGAGGTAATGCTCGTTATACATATTCAAAACACAATCTCTGTAGACCTCCGATGCCCGAACAGATCGTTTGTCAGCAATCTCGACCTCTAGAGGAAAATCCAACATGCCTGAAGACTCAAGAAACCTCTTTTTAAGTTTAAGAGTGACAAATGATCAGGTAGACCCCGAGTCAAATAACACCTATATTGGGATGTCGTTCACATGGAACGATCCTAAACAAAACACATAAAACATAGAACATAAATATCATAACCTACATGTAATAAGAGTTAGGGAGAGGAAAACATTGTTGTGCTTTATGTACTATAACACTCCTATGGCACACATACAACCCTAATTAATATGGATCTAAGTTTTCTCTAGTTATACATGCAAAAAAAATAATCCAAAGCATGAAACCTATAACTAGCATACAATATAGATATTTGAAACATAAAACTATTTAAATAATTACCACTTGTTGTAGCTTGTAGAATTTGGCCTTTTAAGAGCTTAGCACCTCAAGTGTGATGCCTCAAATGGTTCACAAAACACCATAAGCAAATGGAGGATAATGAGAGAGAGGCGATGAGCACACAAAATCAGCAAGGGTTCTACTTGGAACTCTTGGGTTGCCAAATTTGGAGCTAAGGGTTACATTTATTGTGTGGAATTCCTAAAGTTTCAACTGGTAACCCTAATCCACTTTCCATGTACATTTAATCCAATAATCCATATGATAAGCCCTTTGGACTAAATCTTCATGGACCCCACAAAGATTTAATCCACATAATCAACATGGATTATTAGCCCAAAATACTTGTATCACTGATTTACTTAATCAGTCCCATGTTAATATAATTAGTCTTTTTGATCACTAAATTAATTCCAAATTCATTCTTGATCAATACTAATTAAATAATATGATTTCTCAATTAATATATTATACTTATAATGTATTAATAAATCACTAATAACCTCTTTCTAAAACATCCTTCCTATCAATTTGCTTTGGTGTATGCAACCTAAAATGGACCATGCTACTATCGGTTCAAGTAAATACCAATTATAGTTATGGGCTTAGACACCTAATCTAACAGTCTCTCACTTGGATAAGTCTAATAACTATTATTGCAAGTACAACTACAAAATCCGATTAGAAAACGTAGCTCTCAAAAGCCGTTGTCGAACTCTAACCTAGTTAATGACACGTCGATTAGATAAGGGATCATACATTCCTCCATTCTACAAGATATCGTATGAACTAAGACATAGATTATAAACATTTTGTCTGTTTATGTGTTGTTTCCCGATTTCTGATTTATGATGACTAACTAATTGAACAAATCAAATCAGTCCAAACATGGCCAAGCGCTTAGGGTGTTATCACTACAT